ACTTCACTGGCTGGAAAACTTTGTCCACGCTCTGGGCTCTGAAAGTTGCGAGCTGCCCCGGAGGTGGGGCAGACGCCGCTCTGCTGCTGTGAGAATCGAATCAAGGCTCTCAGCCAGCCCACGACCTTCAGAAAATCTTAGTTTCTGTTCGGGACCTAGTTCTCAGGTGTTCTGGAGGCCGCGCCTCCCGCCCCTGGCCCTCCCCTTGGGATCTAGCCCCAGGCCATCATCCTCCTCCCTCTCGTTCTTGGGCAGTCGCAGCTAAAAACTGGAGGCCCCAGGCTGAATCTGCTCTCCAACCTGGCTAGACTGAGCCAGGGAAGGCGAGCCCAGCGGGCGTTGTGCGCTCCTTCTGTTGCGGGAGTAGATAAGTTTCCATCGGAGTCTCCAGCACCGAGTCCCGGGGCTAGATGGTATCATGGAGCCATCCGGGGAGCAGCTGCAACGTTCCGGGGCCCCCAGCTCTACGCCTTCCGGAGAGCCCCCGCCCGTGGAGGGGCTGTCGGTCCCCGAGGTACTCTGCGTGGAAGGTGGCACCTCGGAGACCCCGATTCCTGACGCTCAACTCCAGGACTTGCCCCCGTCTCCGCAGGAAGAGGCGGCTCTCTCGGAGCAGGAGGAGCTGCAGGAATATCGCCGCCCTCGTACACGCTCCTTCTCTTTGCCGGCCGACCCCATCCTGCAGGCCGCCAAGCTCCTGCAGCAGCGGCAGCAGACCGGACAGCCAGGCGCGGAGGGTGTCGAGTTCCCAGCCGGGGACTTCTGCGCCAAGTGCAAGAAGCGCGTGCAGTTCGCAGACTCCCTGGGGTTGAGTTTAGCCAGCGTGAAGCACTTCAGTGAGGCGGAGGACCCGCAGGTGCCGCCCGCAGTGCTCTCACGTCTCCGCAGCTTCCCGCTGAGCGCCGAGGACCTGAAGCAGGTCGGGGGGTTTCTGGCGACGGCAAAGGTGCCCGCGTCCCTGTGGGTTCCTCGCGCCCAACTCCGACCCCTCTTCCAGCTCCCGGGGCTGAGTGCTGTGGAGGAGCGCCTGCGGCGACAGCGAGTGTGTCTGGAGTCCGTGCAATGCTCCCAGCCGCCCGGTGCGGAGGTGACCGGCTCGGGTCGAGTGATCAGCTGCCCCGGACCCAGGGCAGTGGTGGTGCGCTATACCTTTACCGAGTGGCGCACCTTTCTGGACGTGCCGGCTGAGCTGCATCCTGAGTCCCTGGAGCAGCCGCCTCCTGTACCTTCGGGACTCTCTGGACCAGGGGCTGAGGATAGTGAGGAGGAGCCAGTCACAGAGCGTTTCTGCTTCTCGCTGGGTCTGCCACCAGGTCTGCAGCCCAAAGAAGGGGAGGATGCTGACGCTTGCGACGTTGCTATCCATTTTGCCATCTGCTACCGCTGTGAACAGGGCGAATACTGGGATAACAACGAGGGGGCCAACTACACCTTGCGCTATGTGTGCTCCTCAGACCCGCTCTGAGTCCCGGAGCTTTGAGACGTGGAGAGAGGCTGACCAGCACGCGAAGTTCAGCAAGGGGCTCTCTGGGAACCTTGGCTGAGCGGCGCAGATTTGGCATTTAAACCATAAACTCGCAGCGCAGATACGCACACCAGCAAGCACAGCGGGTCTGGCAATATCTGACCCTCTTTCGACTGACCTTTCTACTTGCGTTCTAGAACTCTCAGCCTGTAATGGAATAAGAAACACCCTAGTCCCCCAAAACAAACACTCTTTCCAAGAAAGGGGCTTTGGAACCCTGAACCAGGACCTGTGACCTTGGGGATTTTTTTTCTAGTGAGATGCCGTCCTTACAGCTTGATGAAGACCTGCAGGGTAAGACAGGGCACCCCAACTCCCCGTGGGAAAGGAAAAACTTCGCTCGTGGAACCTTCACACCCAGGTTTGATTCTCAGAAGGCTCTGTGGGTGCCGTTAAGCCTTTCCTTTTAACTGGGATCTGGAGACATCTTCCCAGACACAACGCTATTTTCTTCTGTGATCGGATACAAATGTCCTTTTAAAAAGTAAAGGCCACGCGTGCATAATTTCACTCTGTGCTTCCTGTTTTACCTTCTGAGGGCTTGGGTTTGAGGAGGCCTTGGCAATCAGGGGATGCTCAGCTGACGACATGGGCACTGGGACAGCATGGATACGTTTTCTCCCTGATGTGGAAGACTCCAAGGTCCCCACACTGGGAAAAGGGGTCTTCAAGATGCGCAAAAAGTGTCCTGTCCCTTGCCATAGTAAAATGTTGGGCGAATTAAAATGCCAAAGGCCTTGGCTGTGAGCTGCAAGAGCCCATCACATTCGTCCCAAACGCTTTTGTGCAGTAGAATTCCTAATAGCTGTGCCACTGTCTGGGCCATTAGTAGTCAGAGAAGCTCAGCTCTTTCAGGCTGCACTCCAAGTACAGAGGCCGGGGACTGGTCAGGTGGCTTCTTTTTCCTCCCAGAGGCACACGGATGAGTGGAAACTTGATGGTAACAAAGCACACTTGCAAGTGCTGTCAGGAACAAACGGGGCACTCGGCATAGCAGAGCCCTAGGCACGGGTGCGGGGACCTTTGCTCACTGTGGATGGCTTCCCGCGCTGAGACGTGTCCACATCTGAGTGAGATTGCACTGAGTGAAGGCTCAGCTCCTTTCTTCCCACTTTTCCTGAGTAACTCATTTTCTTTTAAAAAAATTATTCAAAGTGTCCTATTTTCTAGCACGTGACTAGTATAATTAGTTTGGGCATAGCAGAGTAAAGTTAAGGGGAAGATGTTTTCATAGTTCTACAGATGGGTCAGCACAATCATCAAAGACCAAACATGGCCCAAAGTCTGTTTTCATGGAACCAGAAACCTTATACATGACTTTCACAGGCTTAAAGTTTTATTTTAATTTTAAAGTATTATTTTGTGACATGAAAATTATATTAGAGACAGATATAGTGGAACATGCCAGCAACCCCCTGCATCTGGAGGCTAAAGCAGGATTGTCAAGAGTTTGAGGCCAGCCTTGGAGACCTAGAAAAACTATATCAAGCAAAAACCAAGGCTGAGTATGGTGGCCCATCCCTGAAATCCCAGGACTCTGGAAGCCTGAATAGGATGACCACAGCTTGTTGGAGGCCAGCAGAATGAGAGCTGGATTAAAAACAAAACTACTCCAACAAACAAAGGATCATATGGAATTCAAACTTCACCGTGGTCCACAGGTATTTACTGGACAGAGCCATGAACTCACCCTACAGATGCTCTTTCACACCTGCAGTGGAGTTAAGTAGACGAAAGTGCCAAACACTTCTTCTCTGGCCCTCTCTAGACAGCATGCCAACCCTGTTTACTATGTTTAAAGCTACACGCCGAGAATTATAATTCACAAAACAGTTAACCTTTTAGTGACGATTGCCATTTAAAATAAGCAAGCATGATCTGAGTGTGGTGTCATACACCTATAATCCCTGCACTTGGGAGGCAGGGGGATCTCTGTGAGTTCTAGGCCAATCTGGTCTACATAGTGAGTTCCAGAAAACCCAGGGAGTCACCACAGAGAGATCCTGTCTCAGACACAAAACAAAAAAGCAAATATTTTTGTTGTTGTGGGGATGAAACCAGGGTATGTATGTATGTATACTTTATTTTGCATCCCAGGGTTTCATATATTAGGTTTATAGATTAGCAGGCCAGTATCTCTAACACTGTGCTATTTTAATAGCATAGGAAACACTTTAAAATATTTATTTATTATTATGAGCATGAATGGTTTGCTGGCACGTGTGTCTGTGCTCCACCTGTGTGCCTGGTACCCTTGGAAGCCAGAAGAGGGCGTGGGATCCCCTGGAACCAGAGTTACAGATGGTTGTGAGCCACCATGTGGGTGTTGGAGATCAACCCTGGATCCTATGAAAGAAAAGCCAGGGCTCTTAACTGCTGAACCATCTCTCCTATCCCCAGGAAACATTTATTTTATAAATACTAATGAAGTTAGAAAACCTTTTTGTTTGTTGTTAGAATTTTTGTTTATTAAAATTTGTGGGTTTTTTTGTTAGAATTTATGTTTGTTATTTCAGTCTGTGTGTAATAGTTGACTACTGAAATCCCAGTATGAAGAAGGCGAGGAAAGAGGGTAGGGAGTTCAAAGTTATTCTTGGCCACACAGAAGCTTCAAGGCCAGTCTGAGCTAAATGAGAAATAAAAAGAAGGAAAGATTAATACTAACAAAGTCATTAAGTATTTCAAAGCGTGTTTGTAGGGTCTGGATGCTGTCCAGTGGCAGAGGACTTGCCTGGCATGCCAGTTACTTTTCTCTTTCCTGGGGGGCAGATGCTCACATTACGTCACATTGGGCCTCTAATCAGGAAGCAGAAAAAGGCGAATGCTGTTCTCGGCTTACTGGCTCCTTTGCTTGTGCACGTGTGTGTGGTGTATGCAATAGCGAGTGTGTCCATGTCCATACACGCACGTGTGGAAGCCAGAGGTTGACATCGGGTGTCTTCTTCTATTGCTCTCTACTTTAGCCTTTTTTGAGACAAGATCTCTCACTGCTCATCACTTGGGCAGACTGGCTGGCTAATCAGTCCCCAGCATCTTTCTGCTTGTACCCTCCGGTGCTGGGGTGACAGGTGCACCCCACCACACAGTTATTTTACAGAGCCCTCGCTTCAGCATGGAAGGCACCTTACCCAGAGTGCCATCTCCCAGCCTTCACCTTCTCCTTTTTTCTTCAGTATGAGAGCCCAGTCCATTCACGATGCCATCCACATTCATGGTGTGTCTTCCACCCCCAGGTAAACCTTTCTGGAGACATCCTCACAGACACACCTAGAGATGTGTATTCTGCGGTATTTCTAAACCTAGTCCAGGTGGATAATGTGGGTTAACCATTGCATCTAGTACATGTAGAAGGCCTGAGTTTGATCCCCAGCCCCACAAATCAAAGGCACAGGAGAGGAGGGAGGAAAAGAGGGAGTAAGGGGTGGGCGGAGTAGGAGTTGATTTTCCAAAAGGAAGGAAGCAATTCATCACAAAATAAGGCTGGTGCCCCTTTGCAGGATGCACCTTTATTTGATACATATGGTCATTTTGCTTGAAGGTGGAACAACTTTAAAACTATTATCTATCTCGAGTCATTAAAGACTATGTCTTCCCAGTCATTCAATGATCCCGTCCTACATTAAAGAGAGATTCCAGAAGCTTCCTGGTGGCAAAAATCTCTCCTTCAGGGAATGTTGGATAGAAAGCATCTTCCCATCTAAAGAGTTTCCGAAGCAGTGAGAGAAAGGCTGAACAAAATGCTTCCCTAGGAAACTCCATGCTCATGAAGTAAGACGGGAAGTCGAGGGAGCAAGGTTTGCAGACCTTGGGAGGCCAGGCTCCAGCTCAGGAATGAGCACTGCACTCTGGGAATCCCAGGAGCAGCAGGAGCCTTCCCTGAGCACCTGGGAGTGGGACTGTCTTAATTACCCACAAATCTCCACAAATTCCTCACACAGTTGTGAAGTTTCTCATACTCTGTGTGCGTGTGGACATGGGCACATGTAGGTTTCCACTCCGATGTCTCTCAATCTGCCCCATCCTTCCTTCTCTCCTCAGCTGTAGGGTTTTCATAAACCATTTCATGGGTTTCACGAATTTCAGCTCTTGCCACACAGCTTTTGTCTAATTTACCAGGCTAAGAGTTTTCATTTCCTGACTTAGCCGTGCGTGTCTTTTGAGTCTTGTGCCTTGAAGCCTGTGGCTTAGTGTGCCTGCTTTATATCTTCTATATCAGGAATGGGAGGAAAAGCAAGAGGGGGGAACTTCTATGTTCTGCTTTCTGTGGCGTCATGGAACTGAATCAAATATGCTTTTCTGGCACACTACAGGATCCGGGTATGTAGGGCAGAGAGAGCACTTTGGCTATAATAAGCTAAGACATGCTGATGAAATATTGGTAGCCCCAGCCTTTGCCTGGGCAGTCACCATGATGTAGGGGTCTGTCAGATTCATAGGATCAGGGGCATGTAGCTTTTTTAAGCCAATGAGGATAGAGGTTTGAGCAGGGACATGTCAAGCTGAGCTCACTTTAGTGACTTGACTTTCTCCATCTAAGCAACCCGGGAAATGTAAGCACCATTAACAGCTACAGCTGAGAGGACACAGCTCGGTAGAGTCCTACACTTTGCATTTGGATTATATATTTGAGGAATGTTGTAATTTAAAGGGCAGCACAAGAGAGAAAGATGCTATGTGACAGAGTTCACGTGAAGGGGCTAATTTCTCCTAATAAAAATATTAGGAGAAAGGGAACATAGAAAGAGGGAGGGGAGGGGGGAGACTGGCCTCTGGAGACAGGAGCAGCAGAAGAGAAGAGAAAGGCAGAGAGAGAGAGGTGGGAAAGAGACAGAGAGACAGCCAGAGAAGAGAAGGGGGGACAGATAGAGAAGAAAGAAAAGAGAAGGGAGGTGGGCAAGGCCCACCTTTAAAAAGGGAATGTAGTGAATGTGCACAGGAGATGCTCTTAGTGGCTGCAGCTGAGGACACATCCTGTCAGGACCCCAAGAGCAGGCCAGTAGAGATGCCTGAATAGGATACTAACATTCCTCCCTTTTGCTCATTATAAAAAGGTGAGGAGTTAGAAAGGGATAGCAGATGAGCGGAGATGAGGATACCATGTTCTCGAGACTACTTCCTGCTGACCTGGCAGCAGGGCACTGTTCATCTTTTGGGAACCTGAGAAAGCTGGGGTGCTGACCATGCCCTGGAGTATCTGGCTGCTTTACTTCACTGTCCAGGCTCTATGGAACCGGCAGGCGCTGCTTGGACCTGGCAAAATGCTCTGGGGGCGCTGCTGGTTCTCACCACCTGGACGTGTTAGGTAGTCTTGCACCTCCAGCTCTGTGGCCAACAGCTGGTAGTCCTGCAACCATAGCTGATCATGATAGTCAGCGGCTCCCCTAAAAACATCCCAGTGGGAGCAAGGAGGTACGAAAGACGACCCAGTTCTCATGAGTAAGGCAGAGGAGCAAGACCCAAGGGTCTGCCGTTCCCAGCTTGCAATCCCACCAACAATGCAGGAGCGTTCCCTTTACCCCACAACCTTTCCAGCATAAGTTGTCATCTTTTGTCATGTTTTTGATCTTGGCCAGTCTTACAGGTGTGAGAAGGAATTTCAGAGTTGTTTTGATTTGCATTTCTCTGATGGCTAAGAATGTTGAGCATTTCCTTAAATGTCTTTCAGCCATTTTAGATTCCTCAGTTGAGAGTTCTCTGTTTAGGTCTGTACTCCATTTTTTTTTTTTACTGGATTATTTGTTCTTTTGATGACCAATTTCTTGAGTTCTTTGTGTATTTTGGAGATCGGTCCTCTGTCTGATGTGGGGTTGGTGATCTTTTCCCATTCTGTAGACTGCCATTTTGTCTTGTTGACCATGTCCTTTGCTTTACAGAAGCTTTTCAGTTTCAGGAGGTCCCATTTATTGTTTCTCTGTGTCCTGTCCCCAATACCTAAGATGTCCTTTAATCTAGAAGGCAATAGCAGTTGGTATGAATTACAACTGTCCCGTGGTATCTGCAGGGAACTGATTCTAGGAGCTCTGATAGGGAGCAGAACTACAATGTCATTTTTTACATAAAAGCATTGTATTTGCATAGAACTTACACACTCAACTGGGCAATTGTGGCACATACCTTTAGTCCCAGCACTCACGAGGCAGAGGCAGGTGGATCTCTGTGAGTTCAATGCCAGCCTGATCTAAAGAGCAAGTTTCAGGACAGGCTCCAAAGCCACAGAGAAACCCTGTCTCAAAAACACTCCTGAAAACAAAATCAAAATAAAAAGCCCCACAAAACCACATGATGTTTTGGTTCTGTGGTCAGTAGACCCATGGGTGTGAGACCTTGGACGAATGGAGAGCAGACTGTGTATTCCTCAGAGATAGGAGGCCAACATGTAGTTCAATCTTCCACAGCCATTGAAAAAAAACTATCCTCTTTTGTTAAATATAGAAAGCATTCTCTCTCCAAGCAGTGGTGGCATATGCCTTTAATTCTAGCATTTGGAGGCAGAGGCAGCTGGATCTCCATGAGTTCGAGGCCAGCCTGGTCTACAAAGGGAGTTCCAGGACAGCTGGGGCTACACAGAGAAACCCTGTCTTGAAGAAAAACAAAAACAAACAAAAACCAAAACCAAACCCAAACAACCAACCAAAAAGAAAACATTCTCTGTAGGCAGCTCTCCCTCCAGGTGCATATCTGTTCTAGAGAACTACAGCTAAACTGTCTCTGTGGTCTTTCAAACTGTTTTATGGCATGATACACACACTACAGCTCCATGACAGAGCACTTCCCTAGCATGCAAAGGGTTACTTGCAGCACTGGAACAAATAAGAGCAATGTTTCCAATCCTTGGAATTAATAGGCTTTGAGTGTTGCGTGTGGCTAAGGAGGGAAGGGCTGAAAGTGACTGCTGCAGGACAGCATGTATGCAAATCAATCTATGTCACAGCCCAAGGACGCTCTCTTGCTCCACCATCTAGACCACAAGGGCCATCAGAGCAACATAGCTTCACACCTATCTACATACCGTTCCTCTAGAACCAGAGTTAAAGAACCAGATAGGCCCAGCCAGTGCCATCTGCAGGTCTAGGAAATGGCTGCTTTGCAAGTGGTTTTTGCCTCTGGAGAGGTAAACTTTTGGTGGCATTTTTCATCTGCAGCTGCTGACACGGAGAGACCTGTCATCTCTCAAGACGGTGGCATCTTGAGAGAAGTCGCATACTCTGGGAAAGTTGAGATGGCCCCGGGCAAGTGGTCCAACTTCTCCATCACATGGCCTGACCCAAGCTCTACAGTTGGGGCTATTAGGAAGACAGATGGCTGCATTACACAATCAGTTAAATGCCACTTTTTCTGAAGCCCGAGAATCAAGTTGCAGTCCCGTGTATCTGCGGGACACCCAACGTGAGGCTCTGCTCAGCCCACTCCTGTTTGTGGGCTTTTCTAGCTCAATTCTCCTGTTTTCTGTGCAGATCCCCAAATATGGAGTTAATTTGATCTAAGTTACAAGAATTAGTTCTGTATTATCAAGCCGTGGGCATGTCCAAACCCATTTAGGAGGTTTAATTAACACAAAAGCAGCCAGCTGTGAACGGTTTGCAGAACAAGCCAGGTTTATTCCATGACTGTCTGTGGACGCGATCCTGTGGGGAGTCTCCCACGGAGCTGCCATTCTGCTTGCAATGTGACACTTTCAGGGGGATGACTTAGATTACACAATACAGCTACTTAAATTGAGAGCACTGCCCACAGCATTGCTGTTAGATGGTGAGTGACCGTTTGTTTTATCAAGTGCCTCCTCCACCGGGGCTGGATGACACTGCTCCACAGGTCAGCCGCAAGGTGAGAACACACTTCTCATATCACGTTCGCTCACCAAGGCTGCATGCCCTGCTTTTTGAACACCTCAGCTCCCGGGAGTGGACCCAGTGCTATCAGATTCAAGACGTCCAATGATTTTTACTACTTACAGGTGTGCAAGACTTAATTCTGAGATCAAGAGTTGCAGAACTGGATGGATGAGAACCAAGTATGACACACAGGTATGAAACCTGTGGTGGTTTGAGTAAGAACAGCCCCCAGAGGCTCATCTATTTGAGTGCCTGGTCGTCAGTGAGTGGCATTACTTGAGAGAATTAGGTGTGGCCTTGTTGGAGGAAGTGTGGCACTGGGGGTGGGCTTTAAGGTTTCAAATGCCCGAGCCAGTACCAGTGTTTCTCTCTTCTTCTGTTGCCTGCAGATCCAGATGTAGAAATCTTAATTACTCTCCAGCACCATGTCTGCCCATGTGCCACCATGCTCCCCGCCATGGTAACAATGGACAAAACCTCTGAAACTGTAAGCAAGCCCCATTTAAATGCTTTCCTTGTTAAGAGTTCCGTGTAGTTGAGTGGTGCTGGCACACGCCTTTAATCCTAGCACTCAGGAGGCAGAGGCAGGTGGATCTCTGAATTTGAGGCCAGCCTGATCCACAGAGTGAGTTCCAGGACAGCGAGAGGTTACACAGAGAAACCCTGTTTTGGGGAAAGAAGAAAAAAGAGAAGAGCTGCTATGATTATGATGTGTCTTCACAGCAAGAACACTAAGATGAAACCCATTATTTTGCACACTAGTTAAAAAAAAAGAAAGTTGTATTGCAAAAGAGAATGTCTGTGGGTTACTACCATGACAGAATCTATACTGCACAGACACCAGGGTGAACACCCGTGACAGGCTATATGTAGTCTGTGCTCACTTATAATTTTTATGTAAAACTACCCCAGACTCAGTGCAAGGATTACAGATGTGTAGCCTCACACCTGGCTCACCCATGACTTCATGTGTGGTACATGCATGTGTATATGTTCATGTGGGTACACACACAAGTGTGCATGCATGTGGAGGTCAGAGGCTGATGTCATTTGGGTGTCTTCCTCAATCACTGTTAATGTTGGATGAACTGAATCTAGTTGGCCACTTTAGCTACACTGGCTGGCCTGTGAGCTCCCAGGATTTGCCTGTCTGCCCCTCCTCCTCCAGGGTTACCGTGCTGATGTGCCCAGCCTTTTACAACATGGGTGCTGGGAATATTAACTCAGGTCCTCAGGCTTGTGTGGCAAGCACTACACTGTAGATGGAGTCACACCCCTAACCCAACTTCCATGACTTTTAAGGTAGGGTGATAGACTGCTTGTCCTGGATCCACACGAATGCCACAAGAATTGGTGACACCCTGTCTAGCTCCTGTAGGACCTTCACTACTCTCACGCCTGCTCCAGCTCTGACGTGAATCCAGAGTCTACTCAGGTCTGAGAAGAAATTCTTCCAGTGGGATAGGTCCCTAGAACTCCCAGAAGTTAAGAGAGTTGTGTAGTATGTGCCCGGAAGGAATGGATTTCTACAACATACGACATCTTTAGTACCTGGTTGCTGCTGGACGGCTGATCGTCACATCTCCCAGAAAATGGTATTTTATCTTTATTATTTTAAAAAGTAACTTTAAGGTTTATTTCTTACGAGTATTCTGCCTGCATGTGTGTACCTGGTGACTGCAGCAGTCTGAACAGGGCATCAGATCCCTGGAACTGGAGTTATAGACGGTTGGCAGCCACCAGGCCCAGTACTGGGACTAGAACCTGGGTCCTCGACAAGATCAAAATGTACTCTTAAGCACTGAGCCATCTCCCCTTAACACACTTTGATTCCCTGATGACTCTAAGGTGCTAAGTGGAGTAGGTAATGTACATTCATAAGGCACTCCTGGTGTCCCCAGTGTCCATCGAACCTGGGCTGCACAGCTACACGTGGCACTTCCTGGACTTCAACGTTCATGGCCTCCCTCGGGGACTGCCAGAAGTAGGATTCCAGTGTGCACAGGTTGTGGAGGCACAGGTTGTGGAGAGGCTTGGTATTCTGAACTTGTAGATCTGCGTGATGGGGCTGTACCTGTGCTCATCTTGATCTGCGTCCTTATTGCCTGTGTCTGAACTGGTGCCTGGACTTGCCTTCACTAAGGCAATCTTCAGCCGATGGTGGGGCCTTCCTTTTGGGTTCCCACTTCTACAGTCCCAATCTGATCAGGAAATAAATGCACATTCATTATAATGGGTTTATTTGGTACAAAAGGACAGGGAGATAATTCTGTTTATTTTTAAGGACGGAGACACAAAGTCTGCAAAAGCTCTACACATGGGTGATCTGTAAGATGGGAGGATGGAGAGGAGACACGACAACACATGGCGTTATTCTGAGTGGCCTCCAGCTCTTCCTTCTAATGCCTGGATTGAGGAGTCACAGCCATTTCTTCCCTTTATGGCTGTGACAGGATGCAAATGTGACCCAGTTTATCAGCTCCTACAAGGCAGGCAGAGCAAGAGGCTGTGTTCAGCCAGCACTGGGAGTTTCCACACCACACAGAATGGATGCTGAAGGTGGTCGGTTCTGCTGCTGGAGGCCGTTTCCAAATGTTGGGCTCCTATGTCCTGGGCTTCTCTTGATTCTCAATGATAAGTTTGTCAGTTGAATACAGCTGGCCAATATGGACCTGCAAGCAAAGACGAGATACAGGTCAAGAACTGTTGGACTCTGTCAGCTAATTTGGCTTGAGAGAGAATCTTGCTATGTAATTTAGGCTAGCCTTAGTTTGGCCATGCTTCTGACAGCCTCCCAGGTTCTGGGATTACAGATGTGTGCTTTCAGCCTGGCTTCATTCTAACAACTACATGCAGGTGCTTGCCATGCAGGTTGGTGCCTCTGGAAACTGCACTACAAGACAAAGTTCATCCCCATGTATCGTTGCTAGTTCCCTTAATATCTGCCCCCTAGGCTCCTTGCAATGGGAGGTTAGTGAGACCCTCACATTTCTCTCACATGTCACCATGGCCAGTCTTGGTATTTGGAGCTGGCAAGGCTATCAACCAGGCTCCCTGGCTGCCAGCTGCAGAGCCATTCATGTGTAGAGCTCTTACCCATGGGAATTCGTTCCTGTACAGGGAGCAAGCAGCCTGTGCTGTCTGTGCTGGGGCTGTCAGTTTGTGTCCACTGCTCCTGCTCCATCTGTCCTGCCTCTTTTCTTCGGTTGCGTCCTTTTTAATTAAGTCTCTGTTGGTATCCAAATGCCCCCACTTCCTCAGATGCTGGAGCAGCAATGCAGGGCCGTCCCTTTTCTAAAACAAGGAGTCGTTGTCATGGTTTCCCACTAAAGACACTTCCTGGGCAACACTTTAAGGAACAAAGAGAACCAGGGAAGAAAGTGCTGAGCATTAGGGCGTCTGTCTGGATCTCCGCACTGGGACACTCTCTATGGACCATCTGGGGCGAGAAATTGCTCTTTACAAAGACAAATGAGAACACACTCCCGAAGGCCGGGGCTGCTACCCAGAGCGGTCATATGTCAGAATCCAGACTCTCTCAAGGCTTCTTCTCTCCACCCTCCCCATGAGACAGGATTTCTCTGTGTAGCCCTGGCTGTCCTGAAACTTGCTTTGTAGACCAGGCTAGCCACAAACTCAGAGATCTGCCTGCCCCTGGCCTCAGTGCTGGTATTAAAGGTGTGCACCGCCACACAGGTCCTTTTCCTGCCTTAATGTTCTAGCTTAAAGAGGGGCTACAGGGAAAGGGAGTATGTTGTTAGCGAGGAACACAGTGTGGTTTGCTCCCACCAATGGTGGCAGCTGCAGAGGGTCTCCTGAATTCCCGTTTTTCCACACATTTGTCTTTCCCTGGGTCTGGACTGATCAAACACCCACATAGGTAACTTAATGGATACATTAGCTAAGCACAGAGTGTGGAAATGAATATCAATGCAGGTGGCTTCAGTTGCCAGCAATGAGTGCTTTAGAGTCATTTTGAATGAAATCACAGTGGTAAGTTTACTTCTTTGTCTGTGGTCTTGTTATCAGCACAGAGGACGCCAGGCGGCTGAGACGTGGGACGGCACACTTCTCAGAAGCAGGACTGTGAGCACTGTTCATGGCTGGGACCTTGTGCCGTCTGGGATTAGCTGGGTAGGGTTTTTATTTACTCATTTATTTTTTGATTTTGCTCATCTGACTAATCATATCATAATCCTAGTGAGTGGAGCCAAGGAGTAGACTGGGGGTTCCCACCTTGACACCTGAAATAACTGCTGGTGTCCTAAACCATATGTCTTAAGAGAAAAACCAGTGCTTTTCTTGACCCTGAATATTTGTGATATATATTATTAAGTTGGAAAAAAAAGTACATACTAATAAATTTGTAAAATCTATTAGTAAAATGTTTGGTGCTGTTTAACTCACTGACAAGCTGGCTCTGGAGGCTGGGTTGCCCCTGTCCAATTTCAGACCAAAGCATGTTTATGTCAGTATATCCTCAAAAGACCCCTTGTCTACCGAGCCCTCTGAGAAACATAAAGGAGGACAGAAAACAGTCCTCGGGAATAGGAGAGCAGCTTGTGAGAATAAAAACCGCATGTCCCTGAACACAGCTGGGAGGTAAATCACTTCCCAAAGCAATTCTGCTGCTGCTCACCCCATGACACAAACATAAAAATGCCTATGGCCGATGGTTTTGTACGACAGGGTCCTGGCCGTCCTGGAACTCACTATTGTAGACCAGGTTGGCCTTCACCTCACAGAGGTATTACAGGTATGTGCTACCACATCCAGCTTAACAGGTGCCCTTCTTAACGGGCGCTCAGCTTCTGCTGTGAAAACATTGTCATCTCTTAGTCTTTTGTGGATGTCTCTGGTAAAAGCTCTGTGATCTCAGAATGGCCCTGGTTTGGGTGAGGGTTGGGGCACTGGGCCATAGTCCTGTCTCTACTTGTAGGGTAACATTCTCCTTGTTCTCCCTCTGGTCCCAACCTCTGTGGTGTGAGGTCTCTGAGCCAGTGTGTACCTGTGCTGTGACGGCAATGAGCTGGTGAGGCCCCTCTACAGTGTAAGGGCTCTATCCTCTACAGTGTAAGGGCTCTATCCTCTACAGTGTAAGGGCTCTATCCTCTACAGTGTAAGGGCTCTATCCTCTACAGTGTAAGGTAACAGTGTATCCACTGCGAGGTTTCTGAGCTACCGGGGTACCTGTGTGACTTTAAGGTTCTGAAGCTAGGTGTTTTTGTGTAGTGTGAAGTTCCCCAGCCAGTGAGGAATTGTAACGTGCTCATTTTATTAAACTTCATGTTATGATCACCATTTTTCTGAGCTAATATCTCTTTCAAAAAGATTTATTTTTAATTATGTATATTTATGATGTGTGTGTGTGCGTGTGCATATGAGTGCAGATGCCCATAGGAGCCAAAGGTGTCAGATCTCCTCAGTGTGGGTTTTGGGTCCTCCACAAGAGCAGATAGCATTCTTAACTGCTGAGCCATCTCTCCAGCCCCTGAACGAAAATCTTTAATAGCTGTATGATGATGTGTCATTATAAAGATATGTCATATGTGTTTAGTTGTTTCACATTATGAACATATAGACTGCTTCTGGTTAACACAAGGATGAATACTTAACTCTTTTGTGTGTGTCTGATCTTTTTTATTAATGAAAGTTTCTAGAAGAAGAGTTACTGGGAGTAGGTGACATTCTTAGGGATCCCAAAAGAGCTTCCAAATGTCTTTCAAAAGAGGTGTGCTTGGTTTTCATACTGATGCTCCCTCTGGTGGTCTGAGGACTTCAGTGACACAAGACTGAATTCACTGTGACCTAAGTATCAGGTTTTTAAAGTCCAGTTAAAATTTCAGTGCTGGGATAGAACCTAGGGCCACGTGCATAACAAATATTCTACCCTTGAGCCACACCCCCAACTCTTAGATAAATTCATTCAGATGTATAATCTTATGGCTTGGGCTGTGGTTTATGCAATTGGATCTTTACAACATGAATAGTGTTAAGTAAGCACAATGATGAATGAGATCTGCCTGTCTAGAATCTTGTCTGCACATAGCCCTCCCCAGCTGCTCACTACCTCTGCCTGTAAAAGTTTCAGACACTGCAAACAGACTGTGAGTCTCTGACTTCTATACCTTTCTGCCTAGTATTCTCTTTCAAGAGAAGACTACATTGATGTCCAGCAAAAGGCAGCAAAGCCTGCCCATCATTTGGGCTTCCCCGGTTGAGGCTTCCCTGGTCTCTTCTGTAGATGGGCTTTCTTCCTGAGAGAGCGTGACAGAGATGGTACCACTTATATGTTCACATGCCCTGCACTGACTTCAGATGAGTCCATGTCAAGACTGATGGAAGGAGAAGGCAATGGAACTACTGAACTGTGTTGCTTTCATACTCACAGCTCACGACAGAACAGGCAAGTGGGTAGTGTCCAGTCAGTACCGCCACCTGCCACATGTCCTTCATGATGGTGGCCCATTAACATCATATTGCCTAGTGGCACTGTAGCCATATTAGTTTGTACAAACACTCTATGATGCTCTCACAGTAATAACATGGGCTAATGACACATTACTCAGAACACATCTATCTCATCAGTATGATGCACAGCTGTTACTTGGTAACTGAAAATGATGTCTTGCAGCCTGTGACCATAAGATTCTATGCTGTTACTGTGAAGCCTAGATCTGCTGAGACTAAGTGTAGAAATACAGCCCCAGTGAAGGCAAGCTGATGAAACAGCAATAGGATGATTACTTCCTGAAACAAGAACGTCCACTGACTGTTGAACAGAACCAAACAGTTCAAAAATGGCTGAGCAGAGGCTTTTATGCCATAATCTAGGGCTATAGGGATAAAGCCAGAGCAATTACAGAAGAGGAAAGTGAAGCACTGAGTTCACACAGGGAGGGAATTCCCAACAGCTATCTGAATGAGTGCTACACAGCCGAGCCCACAAATGTACATGTAACTGCCCTTTTGCATTTTTCGGGCCTGTTCAAGCCATCAGCACACGCAGGAGGCTGGTGGGATTAAGGCTGCAGCACTGAAGACACAGCATGCCGCCATTGGGCTGCAGGTTAAGGGAAGTAAGGAAGTGCAATTAACAGCCTCAATTTACAGCCCCCTCAGAACCACAACTGACTTCCACAGCCAGGCCAGACAATTACTGTGCATAAAATGGCCATTAAAATGGATCGCACTTTTTTTTTCCTATAAGGTTTGGGAGTTGGCAAAATCAGAAAAATACAGATTATTCAACTCCAAGTAGGTGGGTGAATTGAAACATAGACAAAGAAACTGCTGAAGATGAAGCAGAGGATCCAAGAAAACAGAATAGATCTTAGTCTTTGAGGTCTTTCCTGTTAACTCGTCAAAAGTGATGTGCAATCACCCTCCATTGCATCTGAGACTCAAGGGCAGAAGAGCTGGGCTCAACAGCTGGCGGTTGGGAAGTGTAGAGAGACCTGCCTTTGGAATGGATCTGCCCTGCCAGGAATCCTAAACCTGCTCCTGCTACTTCTTCCTTGTTTCATGGAGTAATAGGGACTCAAAGTAGATGACAGGTATGGGGAGCACTTAGCAACCATTCTAATGGTTCCCAGAGCCCAAACACGGGGAAGTACATGGCAAGTTCGTGTTAAGTGCTATTGTGTGCACGACCCATCTCAGTCACGATGCG